CATCATGTCATCTGCAGATAATTATAATTTAACTTCTCCCTTTCTTACCTTTATTTTATTTTCTCATCTTTGTCTAATTGCTCTGGCTGATGTTTCTTAAACTATATTAAATAGCAGTGGTGATAGTGGACAGTGCTGTCTTATTCTTGATTTTAAGCAAAAGCTTTCATTTTCTGACCATTTGATAAAATACTAGCTGTTAATTTGCCATACATGGCTTTTATAATATTGAGGTAGACACCATCCATTCCAGTTTCTGTAGGATTTTTATCATGAATGGATGTTGGATTTTGTCAAATGGCTTTTCTGCATTTATTGAGATGATCGTCTGAATTTTGTCTTTGGTTCTGTTAATGTGGTGCATTACATTTGCATATGTTGAAGCAGTCTTGCATCCATGGTATGAATCCCACTTAGTCATGATGTATAATCTTCTTGATGATTTGTTACATTCTATTTGCCAGTATCTTACTAAGGATTTTCACAACATTGTTTATTAAGGAGATTGGCTTATAGTTTTCTTTTTCAGTTGGATTCTTCTCTGGTTTTGGAATCAGGGTAATACTTATTTCCAGAGATGATTTTAGAATTATTACTTCCCTTTCAATTTCTTTTTTCTTTCTTTCTTTTTTTTTAATGTATTTGGTACAGGGTCTCACTGTGCAGCTTGGACTCATAGTGATACCCCTGTTTTCAGCCTCCCCAGTATGGGATTACAGGCCTGCGCCACCATACCCAGTTTTGATGGCCAGCTCAGTGTGCCTGGGTGCAGAGCCAGTGGGGCATGTGGTGCCAGGGATGGAATCTGCTCCCTGTGCTTGCCTAAGCAGACACTTAGTCCACTGAGCTATCTCGCCAGCCCCTCTTTTGATTTCTTTAAAGAATTTCAGCATGGCCTTAGTTCGTCTCTAAATTTCTTGTAGAAATGAGCAGTGAATTCTTCAGAGGCTGCTAATTTTTTCTTTGTTGGTAAATTTTTCAAATTCATTGGCTGATATCAGGTTATTTAGCATTTTTATATCTTTTTGCTTTAGTCTTGGCAATTCAGTTTTGTCTAAGAATCTGTCCACTTCTTCTTCGTCTTCGTTGTTGTCGTCGTCTCCTCCTCCTCCCCTCCTCCTTCCCTCCTCCTCCCTTCCTCCCCTCTTCCTCCTCCTCCTCCTCTTCCTCCTCCTCTTCCTCCTCCTCCTCTTCCTCCTCCTCCTCCTATTCCTCCTCTTCCTCCTCCTCCTCCTCCTCCTCCTCCTCTTCTTCTTCTTCTTCTTCTTCTTCTTCTTCTTCTTCTTCTTCTTCTTCTTCTTCTTCTTCTTCTTCTTCTTCTTCTTCTTCTTCTT